TTAAGGTTTGACTGGTGCTCTTTTAACTAGGTCATCTGTGCCCTCTTCTTCTACGCTATAATAACACTTGACTGGAGCTTATCTCCATCAACCAGTACAATAGTGGATGGAAACGTCAAATTTGTGCTACATTTAGATTTCATTAGAGAGCCTGCACACAATATTCTTAATCTTGTTTCCAATAAACAAAAATCTGTTTTTGTTGTATTCTCATTAATCTCATGCAGAGATATAAAATGTTTGACTCCATAATCAATCTGAAGTCACGTGTAAACCAACCGTTGCTGTTTGTTGGTTACCTGACTAGAAAACAGAAGCAAGGAGAAGTAAACATTTCTTTCAGTGTAGTTATGGAAAATTTACAAACCCTAAATCTCATGCTTAGGTCTCATTCTGGTATAAAACAATCTTTTAGAAGAAGAAATAGAAATAGAGAAGTAGAGAAACTTGTGAATCAACCTGAGGATTTATTTTTTCATCTCTTTATCCATGTGTATCTTTTCCATCTGGGTATTATCTTACATTTGACTGAATTTTAAGTGACCAATTATTGAGTTGAAATTGTGCAGACTGCAGAGTTGGAGGGCTGGAAATTTGGCAGGAATAACAGAGTCACCTGCCACACCAGCATGTAGCTTTTTAAGATGCTCTTACGACTATTTAGGTTTTTTGTACGTTCTCAAAGCTTGCCCTTACTAGCTGGCTACTGTACAGCCTCTCTGACCACAAGCCAATCAAATCAGACAGCAGCTCTGCAACAAGCAAGCTTTTGACTGGTTCCAATGCTCTACACAGATTAATAGCGTCTCAACTTTTGCAAATCTTTTTACTCTTTTGAAAGGTTAACTTTTTTTATTGTTTGAAAATTATAATTATTTTGGCCAGTAAAAAGTATTCTTGGCAGGTGTATACAGTATAAATTCTTCTGGTTTATACGTTTATACAGTCACCCAGACACAGTGTGTTATCAAGTGTACCACAACCGTAGTCCATTATTTATCTATTAAATACAC